ACCAGGAAGAGGACGGCCATCAGAATTCGATGACAAGGCACTTCTGGAAGCCTTTGAAGAAGACGAAAGCCTGACAACCAGAATGCTGGCAGATGAATTCAATGTTGACCAGTCAACGATCGTGCGCCATCTCAAAAAGCTGATCACATTGATCGAGCGCACGTTGATCGCCGTGTCGTCGAATCCATCGCTAGTAAGGGCTGGGATCTTCTTCCACACCCGCCATATTCTCCTACTGAAGCCCCAACGGACTACCCCGTCAATCGATCGCTCAAAAATTGGCAAACAAATAGGATCTACAACGATTTGGATGACTTGATAGACGATGTTAAAGCGTGGATTGCCTCCAAAGATCGTTCATTCTTCGCTCCTGGAATCGATCGTCTTCCAAGCCAGTTATTGATGTAGGCGGTGAATATGCTCCAGAATAATCAATTAAACATATTATTTTTCTAACTATTTATGTTATTTTTTGTTAAATAAAATCATTTATAAAAGAAGTCCGGATAATAATGCATCAACCTACGTTAAGACTCTTGGCCCTATCAACGGTCACATAAAATCTGAGTATAGTATGCAATCCACTCATAACCGCATTCCATGGTAGGAAGTCCTGAAAAAAAGATTGAAGACTTCGGTAGATAAAGATGAACAAGCTGATGAGATTCTCGAGAACGTTTGCTAGCATCAAATGAAATGCGACTCGACTGTTTCATGGTCAGTCGTGGTTACACTCTTAGTTGAATGTACCATAAAGGAAAGGTGGAAGATAACTAGATGCGGTAAATGCGATTACAATTTGCTATGTAGTAACACTGGAATAAACAGATGGGATAGGGATCTTTATCTGTCAGTTCGTTTGCGATTTAAGCCGCGGCTTACTTAGCGCAGAAAAAAAAGCCGGAAAATGACTAACTATCATTACAGGTATGTTAACACAAAATCTGAACTTACCTTTTCTTTAGCAACATAGCGAACTAATTTAAAGACTATCTCGTAATCCAATTCGTCAACAAGGGCTGCAGCAAATGCATCGCTCAAAAGGATATACCTCGTGTAGTGGGTGAATACCTAAATTTTTTCTTTTATGTCATCTTAAATTGTATACATTAAAACACATAGGTATTATATATTTGAGAATTTTGAACATCAGATACTCTCACAATAGAAATCCCGTAACGTTCATGTTAGAGTTCAATTATATCTTATCAGAGCATCTGCTTACATTATGATCTTTCTCTAGTTGGTTTATGATATGTTTCCAACCAATGCTATCGTAATTTTGTCTGAAATATCCATGGCGATCAGCATTTATGACCATAGGCGTTTCCGAGGGCTTCACTTTTATAAAAAGAGGTCTATCTGCAATGTAGTTCAATGCACAACGTTTAGGCTTTCATTGAGAAACTATTTACTCATACTAGATGATTGATAGCTTTCAACGTTCTCAGTATTACTCTCTTTTCTGATCTGATCCCTTTAATAAGTGCCATTCAGGGACATTTTTCCCTCTTAAACTTTTGAAGGATTTGAAACAACAAGGGAAGGATACTTGGTCAAAGTGGCGATTTGAATTAAGCTAACTGTCACAAATTGAAACGCTGATTCCATCTGCAAAGCATTTATTGGACGTTTTTCCTCTTTAAAAAGAGCTTATAGAACCTGAATAAGCTGTCAAAAGCTCAACCTTGACCCGAAGCAGCAACTCAGGCACTGAGTATTCGCAAAAACATGTCTTAATGATAAAAATAAATCTCGCGTGCTGATTCAAGGTGAATTTGTTGTTATAGAGCGATTGCTGGCGAGTCGCATAAACTAATTTTTAGAAGAAATTTTATGAATTTTCCAAAAAAAAAAACGCTGTAACGTTTGAAATTACCGGTATGCATAATTTCTTGATCACCACTTCAAGCAAGTATCTTTCACCTCAGCCTACGTATTAGCAAGGTCAATTGACAAATTGACTGTCCCATTCAAAGATTATAGATGGGGAATCGAGGTCGCAGAGAATTTATAAGGACAAGGAGCGCTGTGGACGAAGGAATTAGGAGGAATGAGAAAGTTGGTTGATTTTTTTAGGATGAGGAAGCAAGTGTTGATTAAGCTCCATTGTATGTTTCAGCAATCTACTGTGTGTGTCATGAAGCTGCTATCGCGCATGTTGGCTTTGACGTATCGATTCGTTAATTGGTTCTGTTAAAAAATTGTCTGGCTTTTTTAAGCTGCATAATCGGTTCCAATTACTGTTGAACAAAGGAAGAAGTTAAAATATTGGTTTAATGATAATAGATTCATTTTTTTCTTAGACCAAAATATATTTTAGAATAATTAGAAAAAATTATTTAGAACATTCCAAACATGTTTAAAAAATTAGTGTGAATCCTGTGGTCGTTGAAACGATAAATACAAGGTTTTGCTGCATTGTTTCAACTACTGTAGATCCTGACTTTAATGCAAAAGCGTGTTTGCTTTTTCTCATGTAAACTTGATTGATCCCAATCAATTACCAATCATATGTCTCGATACAAATCCCTGCACAAATGCTTTATTTCCCATTTAGTGGAATCAATTTGATCAGGCACAAAGTTTTCCTCTCATAACCAAAAGTACGACTTTTTGTATTAATTCCTGAGCTTGTAACTAATATCTGTATATGTATAACTAGATATAACTAGATGCTGGTCAGAAGGAGACTCCAAGCTAATGATTCAACAACAAACTTCCAGCCTAGCCCCATAGTTTTCTAAAAATCCTTTCAAAAACTTCAACTACTGTTGCTACTATTTAGGCACCCGATCGTAGCTAAAAGGGGTTTGACGTTAATTACGTTTCAATCTCACGGCAATTGCGGTCGGTCACTCTCAATAACAGCAAAGGGCTGATGTTTATTCGCAAAACGCTTCAATCCGCAGTCGGATACTCTGCATATGTAAGCTATCGTGGGTTGATTTTCATTGACTCTCCGAATCTGTTCCTTTTTCAAATTTTGTGCAGAGCCAAAACAAGAATTT